AAATTGGGGGTAAGATTATCTGCTGCTCTTAACTCTTTGCTCTTTTTCTCAAATATAGAAAATAATACCGGAGCTTTGTTTGTGTCAGTTATAGCTGATATTAGCTCACACTTAGCGAGGTTGTGCTGTAGGGTTCCACCTGTTACCACAGACTTTTCTCTTCCACTGTCCCAACATGCATGCTCAGTATACGGGAGTTTTACAAAGTCAATTACTAAATGCTAATAACTACCCACTCTTGAAACATCTTTGTGAAGAAGACTGTTTACTTTAATCAACTCAATGTTATTGGCCCGGCCCTCCTTAGACAGTAAATCTTAAAAAATGGGCAACTTGACAGCAATTGGATCTATTTACATTTTTGTGATATATATTTCTTTCAGTTATATATTTTTGCAACTAATCTGGTGTTTAAAGTGCTTTGAGATAACATCAGTAGTAAACTGACACTAAACACATTAAACTGAACTGGATTACAGCAAGGTGAAGTTATAAATCAGCATCCTAGCTTTGAAGATTTCACACAGCACTTTTTAATCCATCATTTAATAATGTACAGATTATGGCACAACAACAAGCATATCAAGAAATTCATGTCTACTTGAAGTGACAAGTTAGGCAAGGAGAGTATTAATCAGAAAAGCAGCCAAGAGGCAACACAGATCTTCAGCTCAAGTTGAGGAATCTGTTGACAGGACAATTATCAGACAGGCACACCAAGAATCTCACCTTAAAGGAAGAGTGGCGGTAAGACAGCTATAAGAAATCCCATTTCAAGTTTGTCACATATTGGGTACACAGTAAATATGAAGAAGATGCTCTGCTCAGATGGGATCAAAGTCACAGTTTATACATAAAACACTACCTATGGGGGGAAATTATACTGTTTACAATATATCCTGGCGACAACATAACATTGAGCAATACTGGAACAAAAGTAACCTCTTCTAGAGCCTGTAAAGGGATTTAGAGTGAGCAGAAAGTGCATCCAGAGTTACAATGTAATGATTTTCAAAATTTTGTTAAAATGGGTAGGTAAATAACCAAATCCATATGAGTATCTGTGTTACTACTTGCTTACATATAGTGTTATCCAATCTAATTGAGGTTCAGCATAATAAGAAGCAAGATGTGTCTTAGCTAATTCAAAAATTTGGTAAGAAAATCCTTAATAAATACCAGTGGCAAAACAAATAAAAATATTTTTTCCTTATCACTTTTGCTCCTGTTCCTTCCTCTATTGCCAATTGTACATAAAACTACAGTACAAATTTATAGGACTAGTGTTTTATATGCATTTTATGAATCCCTGTCAACAGCCATGGGCAACTATTTTATGTTTTCGTTAAAAGAAAAAAATGCTAGTGGATTGCAGTACACCTGTGCTTTGCCCCATACAGCAAAGTTAAATAACTACTTTGGATTGGTTTGGAGTCATACTTTATGGATGTGCGATTTTCTTTCTTTTCACTAAGAAGAACTTGACATAAGGTTTGTTAAATTGTCAAAACTATAAACATAGAACCTTCATGGTCACACAATTTCTCCTGAAATTCTTACTGCCACAGCTCACTCTACAATGTTACCAGAAAGGAGCAATTGCTAAGAATTTCAGAGAATGTTCTGTTTTTATGATTTCCATAATTATCTCAGGAAGCCAGAAGCGTATCACAAGGAGAAAAGTGACATCAGCACATCAGACAGATTGCTGGTTTGTAATCAGGTCAGAAAAGTGGGTTCATACTTAAAATGAAAATAAACAGATGTACAGTGCTAAATTTAGGCCATAGGAATGAGGTAAACATTCCACTGTGATGCCATTTTCCTGAAACCTGGAAGGTAATTTTTTTTTATTCCAAAGAATGCATCTGTTCAGTACAAGTAAGTCACTTGGCAGATTTTGCAAAATAACATATATTTTTAGAGGGGCTTAAATAATAAAAGGTTTTTTTGGCCATCATTGTAATAACTGCAAACCACAACTGAAAATGACTGTTTAACACTCCTGCAGCATAACCCCCCCCCCCCCCCCCAAAAAAAAAACTGTCAGTAATTGGTCAGTAATTAGTTATTACGTTTTTCAAGGTCTCGTTATGTTTGTAAATATGACAATAACAATTTTCTTATGTGAATTTTGGTATATCCACGAAATATTCTAAGCTCTTCAAGTGCTTATTTAGGACCAATAGTATCTCATCATTCTAGAATTGAAAAGATGGTGAATATTCCTTATGCCTAAGTGTTAAATCAGACTTGTTTGGACAATCTTTCAGGTCGTCGTAAAGTCATCACTATGTTCTGAAATTCCATTAGCTGTGATGAAAACCACAAAAACATTACTGGCAGGTCCAAGCACATTTACTGTCACTATTATGTCTTGATCCAAATTTATTAATGCAATATGATACATTATGGCAATGCAGCAACATCTCACTAATGCAGAGCGGTTTAAATAAAGAAATAACTGACACACTATACTGATGTCCTGCTGGTGAGACACTGGAAGTCAGTTATAGGATTTTTTTCCTCGCAAAAGTAGTTTCAGGGATCAATCAGGGCATAATCTTAAGGCATTTATTAGCTGGTTCTGTCAAAGACTGGCCCAGGTTTTTCACTATTAAGGTATGGCCTGATTGTAAGATACAGCTCTCTTCTAGTAATTGTTTGATCCTTTGATTTATTACAAAATTCTTTAAAGGATCAGAATCTAAGAAGAGAGATTAACTATACAAATCAAATAATTTACTTAGTACTTCCATCAAACTATGCTCTAATATCACCATGCATTTTTCTAGAAATGCCCTGTGATAAACTGTGACTTGTAGTCACAGGCCTCTCATCTAAAGATGAGTGGAGGTAGGGACCAGCCCCCCTTCATGGATTAAATTGTAGTAGACAATATATGGATATCTCTTTTAGTATCAGAAAATGTCAGCCAGCAACTCAAATTCAGACCAGCTGATCTCTTATTGGCCTCAGTAGCACTGCAAAGCAAGAGTAGCGTGTGCCACATTGGCCTATCAACAGTACCTGGTGACATGCAAGTAGGAAATAAAGCTGATGAATTCAGTTGGAATTAGTGCCTGAGAGCAGATCTGTGCAGCACGTTGCCCTCTTTGAGGGGTTAAATACCAAAATAGGAAGATGACAGGGTTCATATTTATGTTAACGTTTCATTAGGCCAATTAACCACAAAATCAACTTGAAAGTTTTTTCACATCATTCTCTTACCTTTTTAATTGTTTTTCGTTTTTATCAGGAGCATTCTCCGTGGTTAATTCTTAAATAGATTTTGTCTTCTCGCCCAGGAAATTATTTATTCCGAGTAGGACTAGCTTTTAGAGTTTAGGTTTAGGGGCCAGAGTTTGCAGAATGAAGAACTGTGGATAAGCAAGTAGCAGAAACCAGTTTAGCACAGTAACTAATTGGTTGTTGGAAACATCTATGCATTATCTGACCACTTAATCCCAAGTGGGATAACAAGGGGTGCTGGTGCCTATATCCAGCTGTCTACGGGCGAGAGGTGGGGTACACCGACCCCAGACAGGTCGCCAGTCCATTGCAGAGACAAACAGAACAAACAACCGTTCACACACACACACACTCACAGCCAAGGAGAATTTAGATAAGCCAATTAACAGTCAATGTTTTTGGACTGTGGGAGGAAGCCAGAGACCCAGAGATCCAGAGTACCCACGCATGCTCAGGGAGAACATGCAAACTCCATTTAGAAATAAGGAATCAAACCCAGAACCTTCTTGCTGCAAGGCAGCAGTGCTACCCAAGGTGTCAGAGAGCAGCCGGTTGTTGGAAACAAAAAAAAAAAACTAAAACGTATGTATTATATATATCTATGTATTAATATATTCATATTAATTATACTAACCATTCAGTGCCAATGTCTGAGGATTATACACAATTCAGATGATACACTTTACATCAAATCAACAAAGCTTAATAAAAGATAAAATAATTAACTTTACAGGGCATTGTACAGTTTATTGCTATTTAAATACAATAATCCATATTATCCAAAAAAACAACCCAAATTTAATTCAGATACCGAGATAGATCAAAAGTTTTCATAGCAGTCTCATTAAGCCTATAGTTAAAAAGATGTATCTCCCAAATAGACATAAATTAGACAATGAGAATTGAGAATGAATGAGAATTAATGTTCAGTTTTCACCTGGAAAAAGGAACTAAAAAAGGAAAAAGAAAAACAGCAAAACACATGCAAACATCTACATTTGCAGCTACAAGCAGTAAACATGAAAGGCTGTTATTCAACCTCCTCTATTTATTCCATTTACCTTTAATGATTTGTTCCCTGTTATTTATCATCAAACTACTGTCTTTTCTGTAGTGTATTATAATCAAAATCTGTTGTAAAAATAGATGTTGTTTTACTTATTGCATTTGTAAACTTCTATTTAATAAAGAAGAATATATTAATTAATATAATAATATTACTATATCATTCAAAACATAATTTTACCTATTTCATAAAGAAGTACATTTAAAAATACACAGCTGTTTCTGTAAGCTTGACATAAAAAAAGGAAACATGTAATCTTTGCAATAGACGTACCTCAAACTATTAGTATTTGGGTTACCCTATTGTCTTCATCCTATTTGTTTTATGGGATCAATGATATCACTAATGTTTACCTAATTAATTGTGTTGACGATTATTGCTCTTTATTTAAGGTAATCATTGGAGATACTTCATAGGTCAACTGATCCCGACAGACTTGCTTTATGGTAAGGTAGGATACCTTTGGGGGATGAAAGGCACCTGCTTTGTTTCCTAATGAGCCCTTCAAGGAGATTTAACTTTGCAAACAACCATATAGCAGATCAATAGCACACAACAAGAGCTTACCATGATTAAGGAAGGGAATCCAAGACTTTTGGACTATTGATAGGTTTAAGTTGGACTAATTGTTTACTGTCAAAAGCATAAACACTGAATGTATGTTACATAGTTTATGTCTTACCTTCACTGCAGTCCTTTCCTTGGAAGCCAGTGTGAGAGCAGTTGCATGCTGGTTCATTGTTAATTAAACTGCAGACTCCTCCATTTAAGCACATGTTGGCTGTACCGCAGACATCCATTAAGACCCCCTCACTGTTGATCATTTCAGCCTCAGTGTTGTTGACCTTTATATCTGTTATCCATCCCACAAAAGGAGGCTGATCCTTGACCACAGCCGACGTCAGGCGCAATGCCACGGACCGTAGCTCCAGCGGTATTCCCCCGAGGAACAGATGGCTGAAAACAGTCATGTCACGTCTTTTCGATTTCACTTCCACCCACTTTATCTCATCATCCACAGCAAGGGTTGTGTTTTTAAAGTTTCTTCTAATCGTGACAGTATGCCATTGGCTGTCATTGACGGCTGTGTCAGAAACTACAGTTGCAGGCTCTGCACAGAAGATTGAGTAGCGTAGGCTGAGTTTCCCTTTTATTAGAAGAAGTTCTAAAAAGTCACAAAATCCTTCATCATCAAAGTAAACAAGCAGCCCGTGGGAGCTCTTTGTCTTCAGGTTAAAGCTCATTTCACTTTCACAACATGCATTCCACACTGGAAACCTGGCCCACTGTCCCTCAGTGCCTGTAAATTCAAGAGCAGCCCCTATTTCTATAAAGCAGCATAAGAAGATCCCTACCCATATGAAATGGGCACTATGCAGCTTTTGTACAACCATTGTGTGAGCCCTACTCTGTATATTACAGCTATAAGTAATATCTTCAGATTTATAAGTATTCTATTTATGCAAATAAGTATGTTGGATCAGCCTTAACAAAAGTCTAGTGTGGCACTGAAGGCCTATGTGGATTTATAAGTGTGAACTGCAGCATTGTAGGACATATGATTGCATGTTAGCACAAATTTACATGAAAACTGGTTTAGGTAGTACTTGCTTCCAGGCGCAGACACCATTACTTAAATCTGTTCTGGCCAATCAATTTATATCTCACGGTTCTTGCAAAAAAAGCTTGATGTGTTGATAGGTCCTTTTTGCCATAGCTCAGCTGGAGCAGGAGATTCAGACATCCAAAAAGCATACAGACTCTTTACAAAATTATGAAACAGTTTTTTCCAGTGCCAGTTAGTGTCCACGCTATTTTACTTAAACTGAGTTGGCAGCTTTAATTTTCATGTTTAAGTCCGCTTTCTTTGACGAGCAACCAGAATCCTTATTTAGGGCTTTTCGCCCTGTATCCTAGCTAGCAGGGATGGAAAATACCATAAGGCATATAAAGCTGATAAACGCAGCATTAGACAGTTCGTCTGTCAAAGCAGTCCTCAGTAGGTGCAATCTGCAAAAGAAAAAGAAAAAAAAAGAGATTTAATACAGCATCAGCACTTTCAACATATCCATTTCCAAGTCTACTCCAGCAATGTCTTTGGGCTAGAATTAGACTAATCCTGTGATTAAGCTGAAGTATAGCCAGGGAGGCCTTTTCCACAATAAGCACTAGCTGAATCATTAGATTACAATCACTCTGGCTTTCCAGGAAGAGAGCTGCTGCACTTGACAGTCACACATTAGTTGATCTCATTGGCCAACTCTACTAAACTCTATGAAGGAAAAATAGCCTAAGTCACTTATTGTTCAAGACAGTCGCATCTCGGTCTCAAATTCAATAAACGGCAGGAAAAAGGGAAATGCATCACACTGAAACTGTCTTGGCGAAAATTTTAAATTAGAATCACAAGATCTAAGACCGTTTACCATTTACCGATAAACACGTTCTGAATGCTTTGAACCCAGCTGAGCGCTAAAATGAGAAAAAGTGCGTCACTTGAGTCACAATGGTCGGTTTGTGTTCGTCACCCCCCACACACGCACACTCACTGCCACCTTCACCAAAAATCACTGAGTCTCAGTCAAAACTACTAATTGTGCTTTTCACAGCCCGATATTTGTCCTTTCATTATTTTAAAAATGACACACATATGTGCATTTTTACATCTGAGTTACTGTTATGATGAGGAAAAAGCAACAAAAAACTGCTTAATTTAACATCCCAAACAGAAAAAAATATCTGATTAATTCATAGGTTGAGTAATGGCTTCAATGAGAAAATGGGAATTAAATAAACTAAAATACCTCCGTGAACTATACAATAAGTGTCAGATATCCATTACAAACATGAAAATGATTATATCTCCGCAATGAGCTCCTCATCGGAATTCCACGTTTCGCCGAAAAGCCCCATTCTCTGATCGCCCATACCTTCACATATAACGCTATAACACAGCCGTTTGAGGAGTATTTTTTCTTCTTCTTTATTATATAAATGAATCACTTATTAACTACAAACATTTATTCCTGAAGCAATAAATGTTTATACCTTTGCACAAAGACCTCTACTTCCACGGGACCCCTAAACAGTTGCATGGAGAAATGGAGAAAACGATTCGAAGAGCTCCTAATAATCAACACCGTCCATATTTCCGCGCCTGTTGGAGAGCCCGATTCTAATAAGATAGATAAGCAAGATCTGCTTTCAAGTAAATCACAGCATCAGCCTGAGCGAGAGAAAGATTCAGGGAGATAGAAGGAAGGATGTGTCCACTTTCACTCCAACTCCCAAATCTTAAAAGCTTAGGAACATAAATTACCTGAGATATGTTATCCTCCAAATGTGACAGAATATGAAGAAATTAATTGAAAAAATGAGAGGATGGAGTTGGTGAGCAGCGCAATGCAAAAAAAACCCCAGTTATCTCAGTTGAAGAGGAGGTGCAGTCGGGTTTCTCTGTTCAGCTTATCCAGCGACTGTCAGGAGCCAAAGACAGAGCGTTTATCACGTGTCTCTTCGTGATATCTACCGGGGAGGGGCAGAATGCAGTACCTTGGACAGCGCCTCTCTTCATCAGCATCAGTCTAAAGCACAGATATGAAAGAAGCAACTTTAGTGAAAAGATTTGAATTGCTGATACAGCAGATGAATGAAGGAGCTATTTTTTAGTAAAAAGAAAAATGTCTTAACTCGACTATGACACCCTTATAAATCTGATATTTAACTGAATGCGCTGAAAGGTTGCAACATCTTTTTTTTAAGTCTAAAGCTGGATACTTTGTGTATTAGATTTATTTATTTTAATATTTATTTTGTCATCTGTCATTTAAAGAAATGATAACAACCCAGTTTAGCATGAGTGAAATATGAGCAAATGTAACACACAAGTTACATCCCTTTTATTCTTACATAGACTTTCATTAATTTCCCTTTCATTTGTTTGGTTTAACCCAGACCATATAACACACGCTGTTCCTAAACCTAACCTAAACTCAATTCACATATTGCCATCCTGTGTGATTTCTTAGTCATCCTGTTCATGACAATCACAACAACAACAAAAAGCTGGCTTTAGCAGCTTTGTTCGTTTTTTTTTTTTTCTGCTTCTTCTTTTTCGTTTGTTGTTTTGAGAAGGTTTCAAATAGGTGTATAAATGTTTTGAGAAAAAAAACTGAGTAAAAGTCTGGTTGTGTCTGATGTATGCCTGTTTGTGGCAAACCTAAGAAGAACACTGAACAATTTTAAGAAATCCAACCTTTAATTATAGTAAGGTGTCAGTGTGAGAAAAATGCTATTCTGCTATGCTGTTCTGAAGAGTAAAGCAGAGGGCTCAGCAATTCCCTTGGAGTAAGATCTGCAACTGAAATTCACAAAAATGAAACCCGATATCTTGTTTAAAGAACAATTATTTTGTTGATTTTGAGACATTTTTTATATTATTTTAATTAAGATAAAATAACCACTGACTAAACATTTTTTATTTTCTTGAAGAGGCCAATACTCTTGTATTTAGCAAAGAAATCAATGCACACCATTACAGGTTCTCAATGTATAAGGGCATGAGATTAATTTTAACAATATTTATCTTTTTTTTCATTTTTGACCTTCCTGCAATGTTTGCTTTTCAAAAGTTTAACATTTTATCAAAAGATAGATAGATATATTTTAACTAAATTAACATGCTTATGTTTGAAATGCTATGAAAGGGAAGGCTTTTTTCTGGTATTACAATCAAAAAGATGTTGGCATGCTTAAATTATGCTAATGCTTATTGATACTTATGTTGGCTTGTTGACTGTAGTTCTTTAACTCTTGTTTTGTATTGCTCACCGCTCTGTACCCCCTTTGCCATCATTTATATCAGTCTTAAACTATATCATAATTGCTCTGATTCCCTTTACTGCCCAGTTAGTAAGAATGGCATGTACATAAGCACAAACATACAAAGTAATTACTTCTTCAAGAACAGATTTATGAGAGAAAGACAAAAAACTACTATCAAGAAAGGTTAAGAGAAACATTGCTGAGAGTTGTAAAGTTGGATTGTACACATTAATTAAAGTCAGAAATGATATGTACAGCTTGATATCCTGTACAAAGAAGGTCAAAATACAGTCTTAGAATAAAACCAGCTCCGTAGGAGGCTCTATTTAGGCAAAAACAGTTAAGCACATGTGCTATGAGTCGGCATTCATTTCAAGAGAGAGAGCACAGCACTAAATTATTTCAAACCTGTTGCGCTGAATCTATAGTAATGAAGTCATTTGAGCATCTTTTGCTGATGCAACTTAAATCATTTAAGGTGCATTCAAACCAAATACAGTGTCCACAGTAATTTCCACGATCATCGCAGGGAGTTCACCTCTGTGCTTTCAGATGCACAGTGGTGTCATCGCAGACCTTGTCATCAAAAAACTCAACAAATTCAGCAAATAGACGGAATGGTTCAAGCTTTTTTAGTGCAGGTTTGTGTAGTTAAATGTTCATTTGTGCTACCTTGTTTCAGAGACATTAACAATATATCTTTTAAGGTCCCATAGGGGTTACTATCCCCCATAAAGCCCTGAATAAAAACAAAGAGGTTGAATATTTTGAGCTACTTTAGTTCAGATTTGTGCAGGTAAAACTGTTGTTTGTACATGGAGTTAATTTTGGTTTTCATTATATTAAAAAAAGTGATCTTGAAGGGGAAAATGATTTTAAAAGTAAAATAACAATCCTGAGGAGAACAAATTTTAATACTGATAGCAAAATCTGATCTTATTTGAGACTAAAGAAAATTTTTTAGGACAAAAATCCTTTGTCAAGGGAAAAAAGGTATGTTTGTATATGGTACTTTTTACCAAACAGCCATGATGTGTAGGTAGAAGAAGACACAGGGACGAAATTAGAAACCAGAGTGACCAGTTCACATTCATGTTTCTGAAATGTGGGAGGAAACCTGAATGTGAACATACAGAAATACTACAGACTTGGATAGTGAACCCAGGACTTTTGGGGGGCAAGACGAGATGCACTGTATGTCCAATGTGCAACCCCACATCTTAAATATGAAAATTTACACACACATACAAAATAGATTTTATTATGATAGACAAATAATTCATTGTCCTGAACTGGACAAAAAATGTTGGCATCATTATTTTCTTCTTTTCATCATCAATCCCCTCTGCCCCCATTTTATTTTCTATTCTGTTCATTATTGATTAATATAAATGCAAGACACAAAAGTTGATTGCATTAGCTGTTTGCACTAAATTCAGTAAAATCAAAACAGATTTTTTTATTTTTAATAAAAATACTATACTGTAATAAATAATACTTAATAATATTTATTTTATTACATTGATATAGCTTATAATTGCAGTTATAAATTTCCTTTTTAGGCTGTATTGTGGCCTAATAATAGAACTGTTGCCTTGCAGCAAGAGCATCCCTTGATAAAATATGCTGGGTTTCCATTGAATAAAGTCCAATAGATTGGACTTAGATTATATAAAATGCCTTGAAATGATGTGTTGTGAATTGGTATAAAACAACAAAAACAGAGTTGAATGAACTAACAATTTTCTTTGCAAAATTTCTCAAACACAGATCAATCAGATTAGAATGAAAACTTTTGTAAGCATCAGTTTCAACACTTTGCACACACATTCAGATTAATTTCACTGGGTTATTCAGACACATAAATCTCCTTTGAACTAAACCTGTGGTTCTCAAAGCTAGTCCTCAAGTACCGCTGCCCTGTGTGTTTTAGATTTGACCTCACTGTCACACACCTGATTCATATAAAAGACTGATTAACAGGCTTCTGCTGCTGAGGGTGTCATGCAATCATCTGAATCAGATGGGCTGCAACAGAGAGGTATCTAAACATGCAGGTTAGCGGTACTTGAACACCAGCTTTGAGAAGTACAATAATGAACTAAACCATTCCTTTGTAGCTTTGGCTTTAAGGTTTTTCTAACTGTCCTCATGGAAGGTGAACCTTCATCCCAGTCTCAAGCCTTTAACTGATTGTTCATTTATTTCAATTCAGTTACTTCCCGTAAAATTTAGGAATCATATTTTATGTATTAGTACAAGAATTTGGGGTAAACAAAATCACACTTTTTAAAATTTTTATGTATTACATTTTTTATTTCCTTGCATTGATTTTAATTCAATGAACAAAATAGGATATTCGGAAGCACTGAAATACATATATTCCAAATTACAAAGTAGACATGTAGTGTTTGAAATCTTTAACAGCCATGTCCATCAAACCTTTATTTAAATTTAAATTGTTTTGTACTGGTTGTTTCGATATTCTGGTTTGTTCATAGATCTTAAGACATCCAGCATTGTCACTGAATGTTCTAAAAAGCATAAGAAGATATTCAAGATTAACAAATTAAATGTAACACCTTGTTTTACATGTAGATGCAAAATGGCATCATGAACTAAATGAAGATGCCACAGAATATTTTAATTGATGTAGACATCCTTTTTTGTGAACCTTTTCTGTTGACAGCTAAACTAAGCAGGCCTAATGCACGTATCAAACACACAAGGCAGGCCATGTATATGAATTTCTTTAGGCTCATGTCAGTGGCAATTGAGGTGCAATCAGTCTTTCAGTTCAGCAGCGAGAAGCCACCCTCTGTGTCTCATGTCACCAGCAACCTCACACAAATGCAGTGCAAATGGAATTCATAGTGAGGAAGATTACATTGTTGTACTTGCACATTTTGTGCTGAAAAAATATATATATTTCTCCATGTAGCAATGCACTAAATGTTGCATTTATACACAATAAAGCAGATTAATTAACAACAGTATTAATAAAAAAAAGACTGTCTGCATGTTGGGGTGGCTCTAAGCAATCTCCTTTGATGTCCAGTGAAGGCTAGACTGACATAGTGTTTTTGTGCAAATATTGTACGTAAGCTGTGAAAACAGTGTACTCAAACTACTAGCTAGCACACTGCAAATCATTGTTACAGAAAGGATTCAGATAATATTCAATAAAGTGTAATGGAATACAAATCTTTGAAATCTCTATCAGTTGATGATAAAGCTTGTAGAGATCGCACCTACCATGTGCTACAGTAGAACAAAATAGAGCTGTCTTCAAGTCTTCAACTGAAGACATAAGAGATGGAGGAGCTAATTTTGTCCTTGAAGAATAGATTCAGTTCAATTTAGTTTGATATATAGAGCCAAGTCAAAACACCATATCAAGGAACATTACAGAGACATTTCAACCAAACTAATTCTTAAAACAGGTAAAATGCTGAAAATCAATTATAAAGAATGAATAACAATAGATTCAACAATGATGCAACCATCACTAGGAAATAATTAACACAGGATCATATTTGAATCCCTGAGTGTTGAAATAACCCATAGGGAGGTAAAATCTACACAGAATGTTTAACCCTGAAAATTTAGTTTTAGTTTTTACTGTGCATCATGATAGACCTTATCAAAAAGCAGATATGATT